GGGCGCAGCTGTTGCCAGGGCGGCCAGCGTCAGGTACCCAGTGCCCCGTCGGCCCTGGGGACGCCCCGGGCGTCGTGCACCGAGCAGGAGCACCGACTCTCTCAGAGTTAGCGTCCCAGGCTGGCCGGCGCGGTGTTTCCCGAGGCTCTGCTCCGTGGCACCGCTCCCTGTGGGTCTCAGCCACAGCCGCTGGCCTGCCCTCTTCCTCACAGACCTGCTGTCCACTCTGATGCTGGAGCTCACACAGTGCATGTGTATGGGCGAGGCAGTGCAGGTCTGTCTGGCAGCCCGCAGCCCAGCCGGTACAGGAAGGCCCCGCAGTCCGCAAATGGCACCAGGCGCCCCATAGCAGCCATGGCCCCCCTCAACTGGCGGCCAAGCCCGCAGGGGCCTGTCGCCCCCATTCTAATATAAAACTTTCACCGCCTGATTTCCAGCCCAGGCCGTATGATGGGGCAGACAGACGCAGAGAGGAGAGTGACCCTGGGAGGGCGGCAGGGCAGAGGGTGGGTGTGCGGCCAGGGGAAGAAAGGTCATGCTCAGGGATAGGGTGACCGCGAGCGGGGAGGGAGGGAGGAAGAGCACATGCCAGACCGCTGGAGGCACTGGAGTCTCAGTTTCAGCTGACCTCTGGGTCAGCTTGCACAAGAAGCCGCCTTTAAAAGAAGAGGAAAGGAACACTCTTCAGCGGAGTATAACAGAATCCAGGAGCGCTGTGGCATGTTTCATAATGCCTGGCGTAGAACCCGAAACTTAGCGAAAACATGCTCTATACTTTGGAAAATACCAATTGCACCATCGTGTGGCATTTTTCACGTATGACGTGTAACAGTTAAACAGCAGCATATGTGACGTGGGTTTCCAGAGTTTACGTAAAGCAGTACCATATTAGCTCTAAGTTGATGGGGAAATTCAGGATGTATAGTATCATCCCTAGAACAAACCTGAAAAAATACAATGTAGTCATTTAGAAGCTCAGTGAATGATAATAGAATCCTAAAAAAAAGAAAAGCGATAGCTCAAGAAACTCATTTTTGGTATGAAAGGAGTGAGGTTGTCGAGAACTCACTGACGGGAGCCCTTCACCAGCCCAGAGGCGTGTGGAAGCGCCCTGGGGAGCAGCAGGGAAGCAGTGGCTGCGGAGCTCGCCCGCCTCGAAGTCCCGGCCAGCAAGGCCGCGTCTCGCTTAGGCAGCAGGCGCACCCTGCCCCTTCGCCCCAGGGGGGGAGACACGGGCGCAGCCGGCGTCCCGCCTCCTGTGGGACACTTCCTGCAGCAACGCCTGGCACCCAGACCACGCGTTGAGACACACCCGCTGGTTATTTTTTCCACGACAAAATGTATCTGAAAGAAATTCTGATGACGATGATAACAGATTAGCAATTGCCTGACTGATGTAAAGACTGGGATTTTAAACTAATATGAAAAGCTCAGGTATTTTTATTGAGAACTTTCTTGTGCAAACATTTTCCTTTTAACGACCTTTTGTTCTTTGTCTTAATTCTACCGCAGAGATGAAAACTAATATTCTCCGTTTGCCACACATTTAAATATCTGTTGTTCTTCTAGATCGCACTGTTATAGGAATTGATCATGTAGAGCTTCCTTCCCTCGAGACGTATCTGTCACAAAGGAAAAGGCCCCTCCCGTCTGCAGTGGGTTTTTGATGTAATCCCATGGCTATTGTTGAGCCAGCTAGCCCTCACCAAAATGAGTCATCATTCTTAAATGCTTCTTGAAGAAATGAATGAAGTTTATGCTCCTAAAGCAAATTAACTCATTAGAAAAAATTAACGTAAGTCAAATAAGCCCCAAGGTAATTAGCCCGTGACCTGGCTCCTACCGGTAACCCTAGAGCCTAAAGTCAGGCAGCCCTGGAGAAGTGTCCCACCCGGGGTAGGAGGAGCTGAGAGCTCACACTGCTGACTCACGTGACTCCCAGGCCTTCCCCTCCTGCTTCGTGGGGAAACATGGCAGATTCTGAGTCCGCCATGAATAAAGCATAAGCCGTGTTTTATTCATGTTTCAGAATAAAACTCCTCACGGAGCTAGGACCTGGCCCGCCTGTCACGAACCTCCGTGTTTCCTGTCAGGAGCTCACTCCCGGGAGCGCAGCCTTGAAATTAACGGCAGGAAGCCGCTGTCCCGCGGTGGCCTTCTGCCACGCGAGCGCTCGGCCCTGGCATCGGTGGCTGCGGCCCCAGCGGCTCGCATCTCGTGTGCCCTCCCAGATGCGTCTCTCAGCATCTCCCGACTCACATCTGTCCCCCGAGGGCACGAACAGTGTTGTTAGGGGTCGGGCACCAGCGCCCCGGCCCCTCCCTAGGAAAACGACATCTGGTAGCTCCACATGTGTGCAACTTTTTAAGCCTTAAAACGTGAAAACATATTAGTGAGACACCGGTAAGGTCGAGTAAGTTCTGCTGCAGACTAAATACACGGCCCGTGACGCGCATGGGTAAGGCGCCGGCACCAGGCGCCCGGAGGCCCCGCCGCGGGCAGCGGCTCCCTGCCCAGCCCGTCCAGCGGAGACCCCGGCTAGAGCACGCAGCTTTGCGTCGGGCCCCGAGGAGCAGTTAACGCCCAAAGCGCGTGACCCTAAGTGACCGCGCGTGTCGGCGTGCGCGCGCACGTGCCGTGCCGCCCGGGTCCGCAGGGTAAGCGCAGGCGGCTCGCCTGCCCTGTACTTAGTTTGTGCAGAACTGAAAACACCTTTGGTGAAATGCAGCTTCCTGTTGGGGCCTCGGAACGTTCTAGATGAGGTGAACTTGAAAGGATAGCCCAGCGGGGTCGGGGAAGCCGGGCCCTGGCTGCTGCGCCGTGGCCTCGCCCACGAGGCTGACTGCTGCGCCTCTCTGCCCAGGACTCGGGACAGGTCATCCCCCTCATCGTGGAGAGCTGCGTCCGCTTCATCAACCTCTACGGTAATCGGCGCGGCCGGCGACTGCGCTAGGCGCGCGCGGTGCTGGGGGTGGAGCGCGCGTG